TGTAGTGTGGGAGTCGAGTGTGTGTGGACAATGCCGGCTGAGTGCTGGGCTCTGATCCCAGCTCTTCTGTTCGGCCTGATAATTAAAGCTAAACACTTTTTAATACACTTTTAATTTTGTGTTTTTTTTCCCCCCTTTTGATCCATTAAAGGGGAAAAAAAACAACAGAGAGATAGACGGAGATTAAAGCGCAGGCATGGGATTTTGTTTTTCATTTTGGATAATTGCTTTTTTTAAAGTGTAGTTATTTTTGTTTGTCTTATTCCTAGATGTGAGGAGTAGAGCCCTGGTATAAGGAGATTAAAAACCAGGGGTGTGTTTAAAACATTAATATTGGTTTTAATCCTTTGGTATATTTATCATGGCTGCTGTTGTTTTTCTGCATGCTCTGTGTTTATGGTGATAGCAAATGTTTGTGCCTAAAAAGACACAAGTGAAGACATGAAGTAAATAATTTGTGCCTAAAATGACACAAGTGAAGACATGAAGTAAATAAAAATCTGTGACTCTCGTCATTTAGCTGCAGATTCACGGTGACAGGAGAACATTTGTCAGCACCTCCTTAAGGCTTCCTACCTTTTCCTCACCTCCTTCTAACAAATATCATAGTTTACTCCATTAAAACTCCCTCACCCACTGACTCTCACACTTACACCAGAACCTCTCGCATCTGACTTTTTTTTTCAGCTACGAATAAACTAAAATAATGACTGGGTGAGAAGGGAGGTACGAGGGAGCGTGGTGGCTGCAGGGGGGAGGAAAGGAGTAAATGACAGAATAAAGTGGTGGAAAGAGAAGAAACCAGGGAGGATCTCTCCTCAACACCTCCCCTCACTCGACCTTTTTAATGAGCTCTGTCTTTTTAGCTCCTTATCTCGTCTCCTCCCAGCTCAACCTTTCAGCTCCTTCTTTCAGCTTTTCTTCGAATCGCAGCTCAGCTGCTCCTCCTTAGTGACTCCCATCAGATTGTTGCAGGTCATTAGCTGTTTCAGTTACTCCTCCACTCTGGGAGGTTCAGCTTCTTGGGGCTCAACTTGGTAGTTGCTTACTTCAACAGGGTTACTCCTCCCAGCTCCTTTTCTCAGCTTCCTCTCCTTTCAGCTCTTGAGTTTAAATAATTTTTCCAGCTGGCTCCTTTTCTCAGTGTGTGTTCTGAGAGTGTTTCTCCTCCATCTCCCACCTTTAATTACTCCTCTCCACTTTTCATTTCAAACACATCTCATCTTCTCCTTCAATTTGTCACTGATTTGTTCCTCCTTTAGCTTGTCCTTACAACTTCCTCTCATAACTGCTCCTCCTCTTGGCCTTTCCTTTCCTCTGCTCTTCCTTCTCCCATCACCTCCTCTCATTGTCCGCCTTGGAGCAGCTCCTCCTGTAGGAGTCTGAGGTCTACCCTGACCAGACTCCAGATCTAATCTCCTGTCTAACAGCTTCACGTGCACAGAAAGCTCCAGATGAAATTTCACCCAGAGGCACCGTAACCATCATGAACATCAGAAAGATCATAAAGATCATAAACAGATGCTGGAATCACTGTAATGGACTTCTCTCCAGACTCCACTCTCAGCTCCCTGCAGATATCTGAGCTTCTGAGTCTGAGGCTGAGGAGGAAAGTCATTTCAGCTCCTGCTGCCCTCCTTCCTACTCCCCATTCTCCTCCTCCATCTTCTTCTCTAGGTCATTACCCAAAGCTCATGATCTTGTTTATATATTTAAATATAAAAAGGAAGTGTTATTGGAAACTCAAAGCAACAGGGGAATTTAAAAAGAAGAGTTTTCCTGTCACAATTTCCTCGTATTTTTTTCATTTCAAGTCCCGTCCAATTGCATTCAAATTCACAAAAAACGTGTTTATAAATCATTATAAATCAATGTGTTAACACAGTGACTTGATTGGTTTTTAATCTTCACACAGGACAATCAAAGAATTGATATATATTTTTAAAATGTCACATTTAATCTCCTCTCAGAACAAATCCACTCACCATCAACCTCAGCCTTTTTACACTGCTTTACACAATATAATGAGGCGTTTGAGGGACTTTGACAAAAAAACCAATACTGGATCTTTATCCCTGGAGTTTTATCTCATCTTAGATATGGATTTTTTTCAAATAAAAAAAAACACAGAGTGGGAAAAAAAGTTAAATCTGTGTTGGAGAAAAATATTTTTTTCATAACTTCAAACTTTCAAACAGTGGAAGATCCTCAAAAGTGAAGTTTCACAGGTTCTGCTGCTGGAAGAGTTTATTGAATGATTCATTGAATTTGATGAAAGTTCGGTGTCAGAATGTCTGCAGCTACAGACGTGTTATCTTGAGTCATGCAATCATTACAGTTTCATGTTTTTATAAATTTTTCATGACATCTAGCTTCATGGCCAATCGATGCCTGTCGCTCTCATCTCCACCAGTACAAATATCCCCAGTTACTGCTAATAAAAAGTTGTTTTCAGAGGATTTCAGGAAACTGATCTGGAAGATTGTCACAGAACAATCAAAGAAAGGAGATGGGTGAAAAAAAAAAACATGGGGAGATTGTTGTCGTCATAATTTGGTCTAAAACTTGAGAGACTGAGCAAAAGCAACATGGACACCATGCAGAGGCATCATGGTGCAACACAATCAAGTGGCAGAAGAATGGAGGGAGAACAAGTTCAAAAAGATCAAACTATAATAAAATAAAAAGGTGATCTGAACTGGTGATTAATTCTCGTTTTTTTTCCCCCAGGGGCTCAAGCCAATGGACCACAACGGTCTCTCAGACCCTTACGTCAAACTGCATCTACTGCCCGGCGCCAGCAAGGTAGGTAACAGGGAAGATCACAGGGTAAAAACTGTTCACCTGTTGTTTATTTAGAAGATTGTAAAAGGTGCAGTTCATGCAGTCCACATTCACACTGTAGCAGACGGGAGCTAAAAGATTAGGCTTTGCTATCGTTAGCCATTTCTGTGCTAGGTCATTTTTATCGTTTAACAAACAGTTTCTACATTTGGCTACATTTAGACAAACTTTACTATTTGGGGTGAACCCCGAGAAGAAGATGTGATTTCTGGACTCCTTGTAAAACTGATGATGAGCTTCGTAGGTCAGAATCTTCAAACACTACGAACCTAGCTTTAGCTTAAAACAGGTGCAGCCTAATAAGAGACCGAACTCGTGCTCTGCTGCTGCTTCTTATCCCATGTGTGCAGGTACATGAAATAAAGACTGAAAGGTATCTGAGTCAGACACAGACAAAGAATTGTGAGATTTGCTCTGACCTCAGGCCCCGTGGGTTAATTTAATCCTTTCATTAAAGTCTAAATCTAATCTGGATCCTCTGAATGTGTTCACTGCACAAAAGCTGCAGAGAGTCATTGTTGTCAGCTGACTGAGTCATTTCTTTCTTCTTTTTTTTTTAACCTTTTTAAACCAACCTCATTTGTTCTCTTGATTTGAGTTCAGGGACCGTGTTTTTTCTCACTTTTACCCAGAACTCTGAGCTCTGACACCAGACCAGAGTTTTTCTATTCATTTATAACATTTATGTTCAAGGACATTTCTGTATACAATACACTCACAGAAAAGCTTGATGTACTGTGGACACATTTTAGCCAAACCATTAGCCATGACATGGTAGCTAGGAATATCAAGCTAATCTGTTTCCAGGACGTCAACAACGTCGTAGTCAAGATAGTGAAAGAAAGCAAGAAATAAACCAAAAACACAGTAAATCTGTTTGCAATATTAACCTCGAACAAATTGTTGCCAAAAAGCAGAAAAAGTACTTAAACAACAGCCAACTTGAGGTGTAGCAAAAGGGCTAAACACACACCAACAGCATTGTTCTGTGACATGTTTTGGCAAAACAGTGAGCGGTGATTAATACATGGAGAAAGTGTAATTAGTCGCTCTGAGAGCGAGGAAAACCCTGGGCCTGATGACGACGCTGAAACAACAGCATCGTAATTAACACACAACGGGCCAATAAAACAATTTCACATCAGCTCTGCGTTTGTTTTATTGACTCGCGCCTCCCTTTTAATCACTAACATCAGCGAGGAAATTTGCATGTGTCTGTGTCGAGATGATTGATTTTTTTTACCGGATGCCATACACTCCTTAAATCTAGGAGGTGAAGGAAACTAAGAATCAGTGTCTGACGACGCAGCGCCTCCCTTGGTTGTTCATACACCTGCTTTACAAATGTGTATGTGTTGCTGTGGCTGGAGGTTACACGTCCTCAGGAGAGCCATTGTGACTCAATGAGGCAAAGCAACATCAGCAGTGATTCATTCCCTTATTTGTTCTAAATGGAAATATTCATTAACATAATTACTTTGTGGTCTATAATTCGTAAAAACCAAGCACAGCTTGTTATTCTGCAATAAAACATTTGAAGACGCATTTTCAACATAGGAACGGAATTGTGCTGGGAACTAGGATCAATTCTGAGACTGAGGTAAATTTAAAAGGAAATAAAATGACAGGATTGGCACCAAGTATTTTTTAAATCGATGGATTTAGATATACAAGTCCATATCCAGTCAAGTAGTAAAATAAGATTAAGTGATGTTTTATTTTGAGTAAAACAGTCAAGTAGTAAAATAAGATTAAGTGACCTATTGTTGAAACATTTTCAAACAACGTTGTGTGTTAATTTGTTCATTGAAACAGAAATTGTCCTGCATACTTCAAGTGACATTTTGTTTACTGGAAACAGTGTTTTACTGAAATGGTTGGTGAAAAAGCTCTGCTCACTTTCTGTTCCACTAGTTCATTTTTTGTGTTTTTTACTACTATATTCTCTCATGTGATGACAGTGACAGTTTGAAATGTGTGTAAAAAGCAAAGATTTTTGTTGAGAAGAACCAGCTAGCAGCTGTTAGCATTTAGCATCCTGCCTGGTGCCCCAACTGTGCTTTGCGTTTAGCTCACCCCTCTCTACTACCCACAGAGTTGTGTCACACATAATCACACTCCCTGTCAGTTCACTGCAAACTTGAAACTCAACCTAAAGAAGTATCAGTGAGAATACTTGGCACTTGGATACACAAATGAAAATACACACTATAATTGTGCAAAAACACAGAAACAACAACCCTAGACTACATCAGCTCAAACATGAAACAAAAGCAAAAAAAAAAACACACACAAAAAAACCCAAAACAACCCCACAAAAACGATAAGCACAGAAAACACAATGCCTTCACAAAAGCAGACTGGCAACTAATGACAGCAGGTGAGGGGTTTATATAGACAAGGAACTAACAAGACACAGGTGGAGCTGGTTAGGTGATCACAGTGGGCGGAGACAGAGTGGAGTCTGAGCACCTTCTCTCTTCATGCCTATTTCTCACATAAAATGAATTTATATAACTTTAACAAAACCTACTCCATACAACAATGATATTTATGCCTTTGGAAACAATTATTTTTTTTATTTATAATAAAAAATAAATCTCTTTTAAACAATCTTTGAAGGTCTAAAACGACATCCTAATTCCATATAATGTCAAAAAAGGTAACAGGTTTGTTGAATTTTGGCTTAGACGATGCTCAGTTCTGGCTTTCCCTCAAGGGCCATTAAAGGCCAAGTCGGACTAGGTTGTTTGATCCATTGGTGATGTTGACCTTACTGAAGTCTCATTAAATTCCCTGTATTAGTCTTATATGTGACTAATAGGTAGAGTTAAAATCTCCTGCTGCGTCCAGCGCCTCACAGAAACCTTTTTCATATTCCTGTCAGTATTGAACAAGATGTCGTCACCTCCCCTCTCTGCTCCGCTCTGATATTCTCCCAGCTCCCCTCAAAATAATCATTAGGCTCGGTCTGAGAGGCTCATTAAGACCCACTGAGGAGGTCATGAGTTCTGTGGGCTCTCTAATCAGGAGTGAAGTTTCACGCTCGGCTGCAGAGACACGTCGTGGTTTCATCTCCACTGAGGCTGCAATCAAGCACAATCAACAATCATTTTTTTACATCACACATTTGTTGACAGAATTCGAAAACACTGCAAAATAGTGACACAACCATGACACGGGAAATAGGACGTGTCGACCGAGCGGGAAAAAAGTTGTATTTGTAACCAACAGTGGACGCAGTGAATGTGTCTTAATCCGTGACTAATCTGAATAATCCAATTATTATTATGAAAAATGTTGAAGAAAAATACAAAAGATTAAATTAAAATATATAGAGAGAGAGAGTTGTTGAATTTTAGTTGTTAGTGTAGAATGTGTTCTGATTAATCTTCAGAAATTAGGATATACTGCATGTCCCATTATTTTCAACAGACCTAAAAATAAAGACCTAAAAACAAATAAAGAATGTTACAGTAAGTTCAAATACAATGTAATATTACTATAAAGTACAAGACAAAAAAAAAAGTAATTTTGATCCAACAGTTAAATACGTTCATATACTATGTAATATTACTATAAAGTACAATTTCAAGATAAAAAGAAAGTAATTTTGATCCAACAGTTAAATAGAACTGATTCTTCATGAGCCACATTCCAATTCCGTTCCTTCGAGTGTTTTTGTTTTCTGTAATGAACTACAGTGATATTAGCTATGTTTGTGGAGGCAGGAATTAAACCGAGCGACGGAGCACAAATAGAGGCGTCGCATGCACCGAGACGTCAGATGGTCCTGTGTTTGTGTTTTTGAATTTAAGTCAACGTCTCTGCGTGATGGGAAACTAAATGTTCCATCGTAAAAACCTGCATTTTAATCAAAACATAATAAAAATAAAAAGAAGATTCCCGTAGAGCAGTTCCAGCCAGTCCTGCCCTGCAGCAGCAGCTGTGCTCTCTGATGAGGTCAAAGGTCGACCAGGAGGCAAGCGCTCATAACTTCAGGATCAGTGAAGGTCGATGTGTTTGAGCCGATACGTCGGGTAAAACTTCTCAATCAAACCTTGAGTCTGACCTTTGGAGTCTATGATTTCAAAACTCATACTATTTGTAAACATGATGGGAAAAAAAAAGCCCACACACGATAGAAATGTCCAAACAGGAATGGAAATGACCGACAACAACAAAAACAAAATGTTTTTTGGGATAATAATGTAACAAGTGTAACTATGTTGACAGTTCTTATATAATAAGAAAATATATATATAACGTATAATTAATTAACATATCCACACACAGAGCAGGAGAAAGCCCTCTCCTCCACAGAGTCTCCCGTCTCCTGCGCGTCCCCATTTGAAAAGGTCCAACTGTCACTCTGTGGTCTTATCATTTTCAACCATCTGTAACCAGCCTGGTCTTTGTTACCCTTTAATTAAATACCTGTTGCTTCACACAGCGTCAGGTCGGCCCGCTGCTTTGTGACTTATTGACATCCCTTCCCCGCCAGTCACTTTGGTTTGACTGCATGGTAATTCCACTGATCGTTTCCTCAGATTGTCTCCGCCCTGCCAGCAGCCCACTCAGTATCTGCCAGGACGTCTGTTAAAGAGTGAAGGACGGAGCTGCGGACAGTGATTGAGTGTTTAAACAGACGGGTGCGATGTCACATATTGACTTACACGAAGCACTGACACAATATAGCATGCGTTGTGTCAGCGTTAGCTGCTGCTGCTATGAAGATAAAAGTCATTCAACTTCAGTCACATTTTTTTTAACCGGTGTTTACGTTGTCATGCTGACAGCAAATCAAACAAGACATTATTTGTTAAATGATATTTGTGTTACTTTCAGTAAATGTGATTCATTTTAAATAAATAAAATCAATCGCTACGGCTAATTAGCTTAGCAGCATGTGCATTAACCTTATGTTTCTGTGCTTTTCTCTACAGAAAAGGGGTAAGGCTTAGTTATGTAGTAAAATATAATCTTAAAACAAAATAACAAATAAAGTGTAGCATTTTGTTGGGTTAGAAAAATAAAATCTTAAAACAAAATAAAGTGTAGCATTTTGTTGGGTTACTTTGCCAATTTTAGTTGTGTTTCTTTTCTTATAGTACGTGGGCCTGGACATTTTACTCTAATTTTGTAATTGTGACCATTAATGCTTAGGCCCTGGCATTGTAGTCTTGTAGTCAAGTTTATAGTTTACTTCTTCTGTGTTTTGGGCTTTGGTGTGCAGCAGGTGATTTGGGGAAACTGCTGTCAATCTTATGCCAGTCAGAGTTCTCACTAAAACAAACAAAAACACAGTGGTGTGCCAACAGGAACAGGTTGAGCCAGAACTGCAGCCGTGGTTTTATTTCACCACATTATACTCTTTGTTTCCCACACACTAAATGCTCTGCTTTGATTAATCCCTTCACTTGAAAGTGCAGTCTACTGTTTACTTATCACTCGCAGTGGCGAGATAGCATTTGCGTCGTGACACCAGACGTCAGGACGTCGGTAATTTCTCGGCAGGCCTCAGACGGCTTTGCACATTCTTAGGGTTGTTTTTTAAAGTGAGTGAAAGTGACACCAGCGGACTGAGCTCTCCGCAGCTGTCAGAGCGATAAAGAGAGCCAGCAAAACAGTTCAACCATTAAAAATGTGCAGATGCCCTCAACTGTTTGTCTGTTTGTCTCTCAGGCGAACAAACTCAGAACCAAGACCCTGCACAACACACTCAACCCTGTGTGGAGTGAGACGCTGACCTACTACGGCATCACCGACGAGGATATGGTCCGAAAAACACTCAGGTACAAGAAAGAGAGGGCGGAAGTTGGGGACGGTGGAAGGGGGGGCAAAGACAGATTACATTACTGGAAAAACACAAACAGCATGAAGGATGAGTGGAGCAAACAGACAGAGAAGGATTAACAGTAATAGAAAGAATAACATTAGAGGGGATTAAAATGGGTTAGAGGAAGAAAACAAAAGAAGGAAGGAAGGATGAGGAAAGATAGAAAAGAAAATAAGTCACAGGGAAAGAAGGAGAGCAGGGGGAAGGAAGAAGAAGGGTGAGAGAGTAGGATATGACGGTACAGAGCATGAAAGCCAACAGGGAACATGTTCTAATAAACTATAGAAGGAAAAAAAAAATATAAAGCTTAAAAGGATGAATAAATTTAATTGTAAATGTTTGGTGCAAATCTCTTTAAGAACTAAGTACATGACTTACGATCTCTGCAAAGAACCTGTACATCCAAACACAAGGAACTGTTTAAAGATGAAAGTTCAAAGATAAAAATCACTTCATTAATTAACTATAATGTGTATAAAAAATAAAGTGACACAGACAAAGGATTATTCATCCTCCACCAGGTTATTACACCGAGACTAAACAGTGGAGTGTTTATCATTCAGTGACTAAACCCTCCTTCACTGAAGCCTCTTGGAATCGTTTAATTCTACTTTATTGTCTGGTTTAATTAACTTTTCGAGTGTCTAGAAGAGATGACCTTCAGCAACAGCTGCCAATCTAAATATTTATACCACTCCATCGACATGTCATACTTTACAAATACTCAGCAGTTTGTTCATTTAGTTCATTATTTAACATTGAGTTTCCTTAATGAGGTTCTAGAACGATTTCAACTTGTTGTAAATTGTCTCTGAGTTCGTGGCTCCCAAAGTGCAAATCAGGCTAAAATGATTAGTTGTATTATTATACATAGTTCAATGTGAGTCTTACAGAAACCTACTGCACATGTGAATTAGACAGTGACCCATGTTTGAACCCATGCCTCTTTACCCATAATGCCCAGTATTTAATGTCGCATGCTTTTATATTTGGTTCCTTTGAAAATCCCACACATTTTTTTTCTTTGCTCCTAGGAGAAACATTAAGTTAATTAAACTTTCAAAAATGTTTGAACCTGATTGCAATTAATTTTTTAATTGACACAAACTCAAGTGTGTAAGTCAATTACTGTGTCTCTTATAAGTAGCTTATGCTGTGCTTCATCATTTTAAATTAACAAACTTAATTTTTTTAAATGAGAAACTTTCATGATGATCATTTAAGGTCATTTAACATAGGTGATGTACGTAGGTAAAATTAATTCATTTTACATTTACACTTACGGCACCATAAGAAATAATGATTGTTTTCATAGCCATATAATAAAGCATTTAAAATCAGATGGACGTTTTCATATTACTCCACCATAAAACGTTGCTAAATGTTGCAGCAGCAGGTAGAGCGTGTATTGACAAGCTCTTAGGACAACTATTAACAATGAAATCACCCGTTTTTCATGTTGTCTTTGTCCTTTTTGTTTTGTTTGTTTTGTTTTTCAGGATCTCAGTGTGTGATGAGGACAAATTCCGCCACAATGAGTTCATCGGGGAAACACGAATCCCTCTGAAAAAACTGAAGCCCAACCAAATCAAAAACTTCAACAACTGCCTGGAGAAACAGCTCCCCGTAAGAAGAATCTTCAGTTTCACATGTGCACACACTGGGTTTAGATCCCACTAAAAAATAAATAAATACATAAATAAATAAAAGGCTTAATTAGGAAATTAGAAAAAAATATTTTAATACTTTGACGATGTGTTAATGAAATGTTCCTAATTATCCTTTATGACGCATGAAAATTAGATCAATGGAGCAGAGGAACAAGACCTTTGTTTATGCACAAATGTTCATTCATTTTACTGAAATTTTACCCATCATCCTTATCTGCTACCTACAGGTGATCTTTTTAAATCACAGTAAATCAGTCGTACGCTGTTGTTGAGTGAAAAAACGTTTCTAGCATCACATTTACAGGAACAACACAACGAGTGTGAAGCAGTTTTTACACCAATGCTATAACAATAGCATAGCGGGTACTTGTTGGACTACTTGAGACAGAAGAACCACGTTTTGAACAGAAAAGGCATCAAAAGGCCCAGCGCTCCGTTTAACATGTGGTCATTGTTACAAAAAAAAACACCCACTAGGATTAACTTTAAACCAGTGACAAAGGCCTTTGTTCAGGAGTGGATTACTTGTTTTGCCAGCACAGGCCTGAAGTGTCACTGAGCTGAGACTGATGATCCCTCAGCATCTCCACACAGACTGTTGAATTACAGAGAATCACTCAGCGCACCGTCAGACCACGACAGTTTAACTGCCTTAAAACTGAAACACATTCGGATTCTTCTTCTCCTCGGCTTTCTTCTCCACATTAATGCTCTCAATATTGAATTTTGCAAAATGAGAATCACATCTACTGGGTAAATCCTCCCACTGTGATATACCACCTGCTTACTGACAAAGAAATATATAGATATACTTAGAGAGCTAGAAGCTACAATAGCAGATCAGGTACATTCAGGTTACACGTCAACGTTAGCCAAAATAGCTACAACATTATGCTAGAACTTGCTATAACAGCTGAAATATATTCAACGTCAGTGAAGTGATGCACAGTTGCTAAAATCCACATTTTTAGAGAGCACTCTGTGGATACTTTAAGAGACTTCATAACTGCAGTACAGTTTGAGTATTGAGCACTACAGTTAAAAATCAATAAGTGATTTTTCTGGGCTTGCCTTCTCATGCTCCAGCAGAGGTATTTCCTGGATTACCTCGAACCATCCTGTTAGATGTGCACCAGGAGGGAAATGTACAGTATAGTGTGGCCATATATTCTACACAACAGAGTGTGGAGGCACAGTGGAACTGTGAGTGTGTGAGCGTGGCAGAGGAAGAACATGTTCTGCTCTGTTCGCTTCTGAAGGAGCGGATAAGGAGTTCTGACTGAGCACAGGATGTTGTATTCTTCAGAATAGATCAGTGGCCACCGACCGTTTAATCATCTCGTCCTGCAGAGAACAGGAACTCTCTTTATTGACAGGTTCGGTTCTGGTTTAGCTCAGGATCAAGACGGCGGCAGAGACACAGACGATGATGTAGTGGAAAACGAAAATGTCTTTGGATATCACAAGTTTTTCAATTGAAAAAAAGTAAGTGAGGGTAACGTTAAAATGATCAAAGTGGAACCTGAGGAGAGTGACACACATTTGACACTCACATTCATACTAACCATGAATTACAAGTTAACAAATAACCTAATACTGCAAGTACGAAGTAACTGGAGAAGCCCATGGAAGCGCCGTACAAATAGACCACAGCATCAAACTCGTGGTCTTTTTGTTGTTGCAGGTTGCAGTGCAGGTTAGGGTGACAAAGGATAGAAAGGAAATGTCATACAGAGCTGAGTTAAAGGAAGGACTTTTGTATTTACTATAAAACCTAAATGAATTTCAGAGGAGGACAGATGAAGCAAGAAGTGCAGGACGTCCCTGAACGTAC